AATCCACCTGCCTCAGCCTCTTGAGTGCTGGAATTAGAGGCATGCACCACCCCAGCTAGCTCAAAAGTCCAATTTAACCGTAGCAGAGTGGATGTTGGTTATGACTCCAAGATGTCTCCTGGAGGGTGGCGAGAGTGATTGCCTGAGATTTGAGGGTTAGAGCTTTTAACCCAACCTTGATCTCTAGGAAGGGACGAGGGAGTGGAGACTGATCTAACCACCAACGGCAGGTAGCTTAATCAAACTTAATCATGCTTCTGTAGTGATCTATAAAAACCCTAAATCTGGGCTTCAAAGTTCAGAGAGCTTTCAGGTTGGTATATCAGTGTGCCGGGAACATGCCCAAAGATGGCACACAAGAGTCCATTCACCTCATCCCTGGCTCTGTTTAAAATTTCTTCCATTTCATAGCTGTTCCTTAGGAACTAGGTAGGGGACTTTTCTCTGTTTCTGACCTCTCACTGTGTCACTGTTTAGCTCAGGCAACCTCTGAAACCCTACTCCTTTCATCTCAGATCCCCAAATGCTGGGATTACAAGTGTCCACCACCATAGCTGTACCCTTTGGAAGAGAGTAAAAATAGTAAGTACGGAACTTTCCCGAGTTCTATAAGCCATTCCATCAAATTACTGAGCGGGAGGAAGTGCTCTGACCGGCAGCTGGTTAGATAGAGGAGCAAGTGACAAGTGGCATTAATACCTGGTGTCATAACTTATAGGATAAGATGTCTTCAGAGTTGGAGACCTGCTTTATATGAGAGAAACTCACACATTTATTGTCAGAAATAATGTTCATAAAAGTTGTTTTTTTCCTTTTTAGCTTTTTTTGGGTGTGTGGGGGTTGAGACAAGCTTATATGTAGCCCAGGATGGCATCAAACTAAGTATGTTGCCAAGGATGACCTTGAACTCCTGATCTTCCTGCCTCCACATCACAAGTGCTGAGATGACAGGCATACCCATCCATACTCTGTGATGCTTTTTTTCCTGATGCTTATCTTTTTCTGCTAACCTATTTGCACACAGAGACAAAACACTTGTAAAAAGTCTGCCTGTAATTAGCATTCAAGGATCATTTCTTTGGCAAAGTGTTTTCGGACCCCATGGAGAGCCCCATCAAAAGCCCTGGACCTCAAGAGAGTGTTCCAGTTAGGCAGACAGAAGGTGACTCAAGCCATGAGAAACAGCAGGTGGAAGAGAACCAACCTTTAGAGCATTTATTGAGAATTAGCACTGATTTAGCTAAAGATGTCCAAGTCTCTCTTTTGGTCAGAATTATCTTTCCCAAACCAACACTATGATGCCTTTTTAGTCCAAAAGTATATGAAGGGGTTGGAGCTTTGTCAACAGGCTCCACATTGGTGTGGCAAAATGAGTCAGCAGATACCCTTGAAGCAGCAGGCCTACAGGAAATAGGCTGATGGCAGAGAAATCACCATGCCTCGCACCAGCCAGCTCCCACCTGCCAGGGCTGGGAGCTCCTGCCTGGCCTCAGTGTCATAGGGGCAGACCAAGGAAGTAGAGCGCCAGTCAATTCTTATCTCATGTGTGGGCCAAAGGACAGGCAGTACTCTTTAAATAGATTTTAAATGATTTGTTATTATTTGTGTGTGTGTGTGTGTGTGTGTGTGTGTGTGTGTGTATTTGCGTGGCCACAGAGGCTAGAAGAGAGTATTGGATCCCTTGGAGTTACACCTGACCTGGGTCCCCTGGAAGAGCAGCAAACTTTTATTACTGAGTCATTGCTTTAGCCCTGGGAGTACTTGTTTTATCAGGGCACACTGGACACATCCCAGGTATAGCAATGAGGTAATTTTTTATTTGCCTTTGAGGCTGAGATTAAAAAGCTAGCATGATTATTATATTGCACTCATATCACATTCCAAACGTAACAATGAAACTTCCTTCTTTTCTCTAGCATCCAGAAATTCTTCCTTTTGCAGAGGGCCCTCCTATGAATTACTATTCAATTCTATTAATATTCCATAGCCATGGGCTCACTAAGCATGAATAAACTCTGGGATATGGGCTGACTTCCAGAGATGCTGTCACTTGTTTCTTACTCATGGCTGTTGCATGGTCTTGATTTCTATATTCTTGGATCAAAAAAAGGAAGGGAGTTATGTTGTGGAATATGTAAAGATGTATTACATTTATTTTTATTCTTATTCCACATTTGTTTAACTATGTAAAGGTGTGTTACATTTGTTTATGCTGCATTTGTTTAACTATGTAAAGATGTGTTGTGTTTATTTCACCTTGCCTCCCTTATGGCACCTAATTTGTCTAATAAAAAGGTGAACAGCCAATATCTAGGCAGTAGAGAGATAGTCAGGATTGGTGGGCAGAGAGAATAAGTAGGAAGAAAAATCTAGGCTCAAAAGAGAAGAAAACATGGAGATAGAAAGGGAGCTTCTAGGGTCCAGCCAGGCAGCCAGTCACCAGCCAGCCAGATAGGGAAGAGGTAGGAAAAGCAGGACATACAGAACGAAAGAAAGGTTAAAAGCTCCAAGGCAATACATATATGAAGAGAAACAGGTTAAAATAAGTTATAAGAGTTAGTGGGACAAGCATAAGATGAGGTCGAGCACCCATAGCTGATATTAAGTCTCCATGTCATGATTAAGGAGTGGGCTGGAAAGTCTGCTACAGAGTTAGACATGGTAGTACACTCCGATAATCTCAGCACTCAGAGGAGTATCTTGAGTTTCAGGACACCAGCCACATAGTGTCTTTAAAAAAAATGAACCATAGATATGGGCAGTAAAATAATAAAATCCACAGGGGTTAGGAATAGAGGATGAAAGTTGTTGAAAACATAAAATTTGGGGGCTGGAGAGATGGGGCTGCTCCTTGGAGGACCTGAGTTCAGTTCTCAGGACCTACATGACAGGTTATAACCACCTGTGACTCCAGTTTCAGGGAAATTCAATCCAGGCATACCCATGGTGCACATGCATACATGCAGGAAAACACTCACATACATAAAAAAATAAATAACTCGAGACTGGAGTGATGGGTTTAGCCATTAAGAGCACTGGCTGTTCTTCCAGAGAACCTGGGTTTGGTTCCCAGCACCTACATGGTGGCTGGCAACCATGTCCAGTTCCAGGGGATCTGATGCCCTCTTCTAATTTCCATGGGAACCAGGCACACACATGGTACTCACACATATATGTAAGCAGAACACACATAAAAATAAAATAATTAGCTCAAAATCCCCAGCTCGTAGTATACATAAAATATAAATAACAAAAATGCTGAAATATATGCTTTACAAAGTTTACCAAAATAAATACCATTAGCTGGGCATAATGGTACAAGGCTGTAGTCCAAGCTGCTTGGGAGGCTAATTAATGCAGTAGGGTTGTGAGTTCAAAGACAGCCTGGCCTACATAGCAAGTTCTATGTTAGCCTGAACTACAAAGTGAAGTTATTTTATTATGTTTTTCTTGAGACAGGGTTTCTCTGTGTAGCCCTGACTGTCCCGAAACTTGCTCCTTAGACTAGGCTGGCCTTGAGCTCAAGAGAGCTGCCTGCCTCTGTCTCCCAAGTGCTGAGGTTAAAGACTGTTCTGTGATTAGTGTAGTAAAACTATTTTAATCAATGCTCCCCACAAAATAAATAAGGAGAAATGTGGCAAATACAGATGGCTTTTTTGGTTCACTTGAGTCGGTTTAGTGTGTAGAGACCATTTCTCAGCAATGTTAGCCCACTTGACAAATCATTATTTTTATTTGATTTCTGGTTAAAACCCTCAGTGTAAGAGTGATACTCTTTAGTGTCCAGAGTCATTGCCTCCATCTCTTAACTTTATAAACACTAGTAGGGGAGGGGAGAATCTGGGAGGAAGACCAAGTAGGAGGGAAATTTAGAATAGGTCATTTGGGGATAAGAAGCAGGGAAGAATAGGTTTGTTTTCAGAGACATGTACCAAGTGTGCTGCTGGCAGGAGCGCAGAAGACATCATCCTTGCAGGTGCACCCTGGGGGTGGTAACAGCAGCAGAGAGACTCAGTGTGGGCGCCTTGTGTCAAGGTGAGGCCAAGGTGAGAAGGAAGGCAGGATTAGCTTCAGCTGAAACTTACTCAGGTTGTATTAGTTTCCTGTGACACCATGTAATCCATGTAGTTTCTCTACCACCCTTTCTGGGCCAGTTTAGGCTTACATTCATGTTTAACCCAAGGGGGGAAAAACACTAGCAGAGGTTCAATGGTCCCATTTGAGGGCTTTTTATTGTTATGATTATTAAACATGCTAAAATCACATACAGTGGCTATTTTTGCCCTGACTCCACAGTGGGGTGGCTGAGAACTATAGGGGTGTCACTTGGCTCTCGTGGCTCTAGGGATGACTAAAGATGGGGGTGGATTAAGAGGTAGGCAGATTAGCAAAGGCCAGAGAGCCCCTCATGTAATGTGTATTTAACAATAACTTGTAACTTCAGACATCTCACCCTTCTCTACTTTTCTTTCCTTCCTAAATGTTTCCTAGTTTTCTCTGGACATTCTGCCATCTCTGGCTCCTCTGACTTCATTCAGATTGGACAATGAAAAAAGAGTTTCCTTGCCTCTACCTGCTTTCTTTCCTTGGAAGGAATCTACTCAGCATGCACTAATATATTAAGTTGCTTGATTTTTTTTTTTTTTTTTTTTTTTTTTTTTGGATGAGGGGATGCAGGCTTTTTTGAGACAGGGTCTCTCTCTATGTAGCCCTGGCTGGCCTTCAACATACAGAGAGCCACCTGCCTCTGCCTTCCAAGTTCTGGGGCTAAAGGCATGCACCATCACACTTTGTAAGCTCCTTGATTTATGTCTGCCCAGGAGAAAGGGCAGCTGCATTGTGGCCGAATCATGGGAGATGGAAGGAATGGTGCAGAGGGACCAGAAAGTGTTTCCTGGAGCGTGAATGCTGCAATCGGCAGAACACATACACCCTCATCCTCAGGCCCTGCACTCTGAAGGCTTTCCCATCCTGCCCTTAGCATTAGGGGTGGAGGAAGGTCAAACCTCAAAGTCATCTGTTCTCTGCAAGGGACTGACCCACCCTTAGCCTAGTGACTACCAACTGAAGTCTTCTTGTGTCCTTGTGTCTCTACAGCTGTGACAGCTTAAGGGAGCCTGAGAAGAGAGTATATAAAGGTTAAGCTAGCCTCTAGGAGAGGCTAGAGGGATAAAGGGACAAGACATGGGAGAGTCAGAGCTGTGGAGGGCAGAGAGGAAGTAGGAGGGTGAAGGGAAGGCTGGCCATTCAGGAACTGGAATCCTTTTTCCTTTTCTGGAATCGCCTGAACTTGCCCTGAATTGCAAGGGCAGCCTTCTCTGTCTCTGGAGCTGTCAGGTCGATGTCAATCTCCTCCTCTTCCTCAACCTTCTTGATGCTGCCAGCCTTCCCTGTGGACAGTTGGAGACACACTGATGAGTCAACCCAACCAATTCCAGTCCTTTCCTTCAAATGTCAAATACAGCATTTAGAGTCCACTTTGAACTACTCTCCAGTCCCCAGTCTTCTCAAGGCCTACGGATGACTAATGATTATAAAAGTTAAGGTGCTAGGCTTCGAAGTTTTGCTACTTCTTGGATCAAGTGACAAATGTCTTCTATCATCACTTATTCCTAAACCCTGTCGTTCAAATTCCAAAGTACACTTCCTTTCTTCAATGTCTAATGGAGAACAGCAGCTTGGATTATCTAATTAAGTTTCTTCTTATCACTCAAAAATGTTTTGTGGGGCTGGAGAAGTGGCTCAGTGGTTAAGAGTACTTAATGCTCTTGTAGGAGACCTGGGGTACAGTCCAAGCATACACATTTGGTGGCTCACAACACCTGTAATTCCCGTCCCAGGGGCTCTGAAGCCCTATGGCCTCTTTGGGCACCTTCATGCATGTGGTGCACTAAACTCATACAGGATGACACACATACATAGACTTTTTTAAATAAACAAATCTTTAAATATATTACACCCCCCCCAGAACCTGTATGTGACCCATGTGTGGAGGTCAGAGGACAACTTGTGAATGCCACTTCTTGTATTCCATTGTGTGGGTCCTGGAGATTGAACTGAGGTCATCGGGCTTGGCAAACAAGCACTTTTTCCCACTGAGCCATCTTGCTTGGCCCCTTCTTATCACTTTACATGCCTTTTCCAACCATTCAAGGCTTTTCTTGATAAAATCAGCAGAGAATGCTGACACATTTGCGATGTCTTAGGAAAAAATAGCAAGAACCTAGAGCTATAGTAATCCCTTGTTTCGCTTGCCCACACCCCTCATTTCTTAGATATCTGGCATTAGGAGCTTCTAGATTTATAGCTCTCTTTGAATCATGTTTCTAGCTCCATTAGCTATGCTAACAGCCTAGCTTAGCTTCACTTACCTTTTTCCTCAGGGTCAGATGCCTGGTTGGTTGCTGGGGGTGTTTTTGTGTTAAGCTGGAAGAAAAGAATAACAATATAAGATATGCATGGATGTATTAAGGTTCCACTGCCTGAGATCTTTTATGCACACTCAAGCTTTCTATGATCAGGCTTATTTCCCAAATCTTTCAAAGATGTAGGTCTTGAGATCAGATGAAAAATCATCACTCAATGAGCCCAGCATGACTGAGGCAGGAGGATTGTCATGAATTCCAGACCAGTTTGGGTCACATAGCAAATTTTTTTTTCAGAAAGAACTTAATCAATGAATATTTATTGATGTCAGAGAAATTGTAAAGGACAAAACAGATAAAGTAACCCTGCCTTCACAGAGCTCGTTTCAAAGGATATTGAGAAAAACAAGGTGACTGTGATGTAAGATGATGGATGAAAAGTACTAGAGAAAAGGCACGATAGGGTAGTAATGGAGTGTTAGATAAGAACAGAGGAACAGGCCTTTACTTAGCTGTCAGGAAACGCCTATCTGGTCAACTATGGAGTTGTTGTTGTTGTTGTTGTTGTTTAGTACTGAGGATTGAGTCCATGGCCTCATACATGCTAGGCAAGTGCTTTACCAGCCCTGGAAAAGTCTCTCTGAAAGGTGGCACCTGAGCAAGAAGCTGTAGGAGGTAAGATGGTGAAGACCAGATATCCATGGCAAGCCCTCTTTGAAGAACATCAGGGTCCAAGCATAGCTGGAGTGGAGAGAGGAAGAGGGAGGGCTGCAGACCTAGCTTTGGGTGGGAGCAGACTATGTAGGGCCTTGGGGAGACTGAGTAAATGGTTTCTTTGACTAGAAGTAAAAGCCATTGGAGAACTCTGATTTGCACAAAAGGCAAATGAAGAGGAAGCGGAAAGCCTGGGGTAAGAGGCAAGGACGGGTGCAGTAAACCAAGCAAGAGAAGATGGTAAGTTGAATCAGAACAGTGGGAATGCAGGGAGCAAGTGGTAAGGTTGGGAGTTTTCTTTTCAGTGATTTTAGCTGGATAAGTACATGATATTGTGGTAAAAAGGGAGTCAGGGATGGCTCCTGAGAACTGTCCTGACAAATGAGAAAAGGGCATTCCCATTCCCTTCTACAGAGAAGACAATGGCATGGGCTTGGGGGAGGATCAGGAGGTCTTTTTGTTTTGTTTTTTTTTTGTTTTAAAAACAAATTTGGGGTATCTATTAATCATCCAAGAGGAGATGTTTCTTGTTTGTCATTTGCTAGCTTGTTTGACATGGGGTTAGTTTGCAGATGAGTAAGTAGCTCTTGAACTAATTAACCCTCCTGCCTCCAGCCCTTCACTTCCAAAAACTGGGATGACAGGTGTGTGCCACTATGCATGCCTGTCTCTCTAGCATGTTGTTGTTGGCCTTGTTTTTCATAGTAAGGGTTTATTTCAGCTTACAATTTAAGAAAGGCAGCCGGGCATTGGTGGCACGCATCTTTAATCCCAGCACTGGTGAGGCAGAGGCAGGCAGATCTCTGTGAGTTCAAGGCCGGCCTGGTCTACAGAGTGAGTTCCAGGACAGGCTCCAAAACAATACAGGGAAACCCTGTCTCAAAAAAAAAAAAAAAAAAAAAAGAAAGAAAGACAGAAAGGGAGGGAGGGAGGGGAAGGAAAGGAAGAAAAAGAAAGAAAAGGAGAAAGGAAGGAAGGAAGGAAGGAAGGAAGGAAGGTCATGATGTCATCATGGCCAAAGAGGCATGGCATCAGGAGTGAGAGGAGACTGGTCATGTTGCATCCTCTCTATCATGTTTTTAAAGGATTGTTCTATCTGACAGAGATTAAACTACAGAAGAAAAAGAGGAAAACATGGAGGGGATTAGGAAGGATTTACATCATTGTAAGCAGGAGAGTGGGCATTTAGACTAGGATCATAGTGACAAGTGATAGAGTGTATCAGACTTCAAAGAAGCTTTCTGCTAACAAGCTAGATTAGCAGGTGCAACTTTGAGTACAGAGAACTCTGTGAAAGAGCTTTCTCTTTAAAGATAGCAGAACTGGACAACAGTTCTGGATGGAAATGAGGTTGTAGAAAGGTGCTTGTTAAAGCAGGAGAGCTGAATGCTGATGGGAATAATTTAGTAGAGAAGGAAAAATTGATGATGGAAGATAGAAAGGATAATTACCAGAGTGGTTTCACAATTGAGCAAGAAAAGACAGACACAGTACACAAGTGGGACGGCTGACTGTAGACAGAGTATTAACACAGCATTTACAGATAGGAATGAAGGCATGGAATGAGTGCAAATTGGTGTCAGATGTGGTCGGAATGTACAGAGCATCTCTACTGAGTGTTCCTATTTTCTCAGTGAAACAAGAAGGGCAGTTGTCATCAGAGTTAAGGGCAAGATGTTGTGGACTATTACTTTAACTAGGCAAAGATGTGTTATATTTGTTGTACCTTGCCTGCATAAGGCACCTGGTTGGTCTAATAAGAAGCTGAATGGCCAATAGCTGGGCAGTAGAGGGATAGGTAGGGCTGGCGGGCAGAGAGAACAGTGAGGAGAGAAAGGAGGAGGAGGAGTGAGAGGGAGACACCTAGGGCCAGTCTGCCAGGCAGCCACCAGCCAGACAGAATGAAAGAAAGGTAAAAATCCTCGAGGCAAAACATAGATGAAGAGAAACAGGTTAAATTAAGTTATAAGAGCCAGTGGAACATGCGTAAGATAAGGCCAAGCATCCAAAACTAATAATAAGTCTCTGTGTCATGATTTGGGAGCTGGCTGGTGACCCAAAAGAAAGCCTGCTACATCAAGAAATGTTAACGGTTTGAGAAAAGATGAGAATGAGTGATATAGTCATCCAAGAAAGTGAGTGACTAGTTGTGATATAGCAGGATTACCAGAGAACAAAAGAGCCCTCTTGAGGTTATTGGCTGTGGATTTAAAGTGAAATCAACCAAGATACTGTCCCTATCTTCCAGGGTAAGTGTCTTAGGGTCTGTATTGTAATAAACACCATGAGATTGTAGCTCTACACCACAGTCCATCACTGAAGACAGTCAGGGCAGGAACTTAAGGCAGAAACCTGGAGGCAGACACTGAGACAGAGACCATGGAGGAATGCTGCTTGGTGGCGTGTCCAGCCTGCCTTCTTATAGTACCCTGAACTACCAGCCCAGAGGTGGCACCATTCACAGTGATCCAGTCCCTCTCACATCAATCAAGAATCTATAACACAGGTTTGCCCATAGGACAATGTGATGGGAGCAGTTTCTCAATTAAATCTCCCTCATTCAAAATGACCGGAGCTAGTTTCAAGTTGACATAAAACTAGCTAGCACAGCCTGATGGTACTGGCACATGCCTTTAGTTCCAGCACTAGGGAGGCAGAGGCAGGCAGATCTTTGTGAGTTCGAGGCCAGCCTGGTCTACAAGAACTAGTTCCAGGACAGCTTCCAAAGCCACAGAGAAAGGCTTTCTCGAAAAACCAAAAAAAGGAAAAAACAAACAAACAAAAAAACCAAAAAAAAAACAAAACTAGCTACCACAGTGAAGAGATAAAACTGATAACTAAGCAGTAATTACTGAGCATTTATTATTATATGTGAAACTTACCCTATTTAATTCACTGAACTGTTATACTCTATTTTATAGGTGAAAAAAACAAGCCTTAGAACAATGTTCTAGATCTCGCCCAAGGCCAAACCATACAAATAGAAAACAGTAGACCTGGTTTTGGAACACAGGAAGACTGACTGCAAAGACCAAGTATTTTCACATGCTGACACAGTATGTGAATGTGTTAATAATGACTGCACTCTTTTGGGCACATAGTTGCACACTGAAGTATACTTTCAACTCTGGTTAGCCATTCCAATAAAAAGTTACTCCTAACTTTTTCTGGGTGTGGAAACAGGCTCTAGTCACAGCATTTGGGAGATGAAGGCTGAAGGATCATGCCTTCAAAATATAGCATGTTTTGCTATATTTTGCTATATTTGCTCTCTAAGACTAGTCTGGCCTTGAACTCACAGATCCACCTGCCTCTGCCTCCCAAGTACTGGGATTAAAGGAGCATGCCACTACTGCCTGGCAAGGTAGAATCCTTTTAGAAGAGAGAACCTCAATTGAGAAAATGTCCCCACAGGATTAGCTGGGCAAGTCTGTGGTTCATTCCTTCATGTGAGAGAACCCGCCCAGTTCGCTGTGGGCACTACTATTCCTGGGCTGCTGGTCCTGGGAACAAGCCAAGAGGAGCAAGTCAGTAAGCAGCATTCTTCCATGGCTGCATCAGCTTCTGCTTTCAGGCTCCTGCCCTGACTTCTCTGGATGATGGACTAAAAGCTATCATATGGAATAAAGCCTTTCCTGCTGAAGTTACTTTTGATCATGGTGCTTGTGGCAGTTTGAAAGAAAATGGCCCAAAAGGGAGTGTCACGATGAGGAGGTATGACATTGCCGGAGTGGGTGTGGCCTTGTTGGAGGAAGTGATTTACTGTAGAGGTGGGCTTTGAGGTCTCATATATGCACATGCCACCCACAGTGAGATAGTTACCCTTGGATCAAGATGTAAGAGTCTCCAGCATCATGTCTGCCTGCATGCCATCAAACTTCCAGTCGCCATGCTCCCGGCCAGGATGATAATGGACTAAACCTCTGACACTGCAAGGGAGCCACCTCGGTTAAATGTTCCTTTATAAGAGTGTCATCCATGGTCAGGGTGTCTCTGCACAGCAATAGAAACCCTAACTAAGGCTGTGGTTTATCACAATAGAAGGCCTAACTATGACACTGTATTTATTACCTTTTTATTGCTGTGCTAAGACACTGCGACTAAGGCAAGTTATAACAGAAAGCATTTAATAGGGCTTATGGTTCCAGCATGTTAGAATCCATGACGAAACGGTGAAGTCATGGCAGCAGGAACAGCTGAGGGTTCATTCACATCTCAAACCAAGTCACATGCAGGAGGCAGAGACACTAGAAACCTCAAAGCCATCCCCAGTGACAAACCTCATCCAGGCCACACCTCCCAGTCCCATCCAAACAGTTCCACCAACTCAGAACCCAGAATCTCATT